CCACATTATGCATCAATATAAATTAATACATGTATATCAGTATTAGGCATTAAATATAGGGCCTAAAAATAACATTCCAATAATGTAACCTACTAAAATAATCTAAGCACTTACATTCTCCAACTTGTCCATAAATTGATGTAGATAGTAAACATATATCAATTTTTAATCCAAACAAAGCATAGATAATTTCAGGTAAATCACTATACTTATATGATTCACAACTTTAAATCATAAATAAAAACAATCTCCAATTTACAGTAATAAATTTCTTAACCATAACAGTGCACAACCTACAAGTTTTTCCTCAAGTTCACCCTACTCCATTCCTTAATCAAATTATGAATTGATGTTTCCCTATTGTCTTTACAGGTTTACAACAATCCTACATATGATTTAAAATAGTTTAAACCAAGTAAAAATAGCCTGCACCGACCAAACAGACCCTAAAAATACATAACTATTCGTTTCAGAGGAAGAGAAGGCTCAGAAAAAATTTAGAGCCTTCTGCAAAATATAGGAGCCGGCTCTAAGGCCTTGGGAGCCGGCTCCCTACATGCGGGAGCCGGCTCTTGCATTGTGGGAGGCGGCTCCCTCCTTTGGGAGCCGTCTCTCTCACCCCTAATAAGAGCCGTCTCCCCGTCTCTGCTTCGTTTTCCTCGACTCCGGCGTGTTCCACGACCTCTGTATTTGTTTTAATACTTGCTCTAAGGTTTAATTAGTGTCCTACAACAGTTATAAAGCATTGACATGCATCAAAGACATCAATTAAACAAAGTTTAAACTTAAACGAAGCATGCATCAATTAACCGAACTGAAAGAACTTGTAATACAGTTTAATTCCAACAAAGCTATTTCAGTTTACCCAGGCCTCTGTAAATCTTTTACTACGTGTTCTATTATTCAATCAATGTCCCAGACTAATTTTTAAGACATCAATATGCATCAAGGTTCTCAATTAAACATAGTTTAAACACAACAACGGTAGGAACCAGTTAATAGAGATTATAGAAATTCGCATATCAATTTAATTCAATGGAACTAAAAATATTTCAAACATGCAATAAAGACTTGTTTTAGCATTCATTAAAGCCCTGGAGTCTACCTAGGCATGCACAGAACACGAGTTAAAAGGAAAGAGCTAGAACAAGACTTGCCTCCGATTTCAGTTCAGAAACCTTTAAACCTCCGTCTCTAGCAACTCCGGCGACCTTAGTTGTTTTTACTGACCTTCGTTGCTCCTAATTCAATCCACGAGCATGCATCAACACCTCCTCCTTGGTTCAGCCCTTAACTCGAAGCCAACCTAACCTTTCTTTCTCTGTTCTCAAAACTCTCTGTAGGACTCTGTTACGTGAATAAGGTTAACCAAAGCCCTTGGCAGACCTATACTTATATATTTATAGGTTTTAATTGAAACCCTAATTTAAATCCTACACCAACCCTAAGTCGGCTACGTTCAAACATAAAACCCTAAAATCCATCCACTACCTAAGTCGGTTAGCGTTTTTTGTACGTGCATGTACAAGAGAAATACAATTTAACAGTTAATGCAAGAAAATAAATGTAAACAATCAATTAAAGAAAACGAATACACAATTAATTGAATTAAAATAAAATAAATCAAATAAGCAAATAAATGAAATTTAAACACCCAACTAACACATTTAAATCAAATAATTTAACAATTAATGCAAATACACACTTAATCAATTTAAAAATGCAAAAATAAACAATTAATTAAATACCAAACCTATCCTTTTGAATTTAGGGGTATTACATTCTCCCCCCCTAACAAAAGGAATTCCGTACTCGGAATTCGCTCTTACCTTCTTCCAAAATATATGGAAACTGCGAGCGACTACCAACCCCCTATTCCCAAGTGGACTCAGCCTCATTGTGATGACTCCCCTGAACACGCACCAAAAAATAACCTTATTACAAAGGATTTAATCCCTACAGTCGACAATACGACTCGGTGACTCCAAATAAGTCGCATCCGGCTGCAACTCAATCTTCCCAACATCAATATGTTGATACTGACTCTCATCTCACAGATATTTTCGCAACATGAAAACATGAAACACATTGTGGACGCGATCTAAATTATCCGGAAGTGCTAACCGATAAGCGAAAGCTCCAACTCGATCCATAATCATGAATGGACCGACAACTCGCGGTGACAATTACCTTTTTTTCCCAAAGCGCATAACACCTTTCAGAGGAGACACTTTGAGTAGAACCTGAAACTCCAACACAAGAGTATAACGAGCTGCATAACTCTTTTGCCAACTCTGAGCCGTGCGCATACGATCCCTAATAAGAACACCCTTTTCAGAAGTATCCTTAATAAACACGGGACCCAAGAACCTGCTCTCTCCAACCTCTATCCAACAAATAAGCGATTGACATTATCGACTGTACAATGCCTCAAATGGTGCCATACCAATAGTATTCTGGAAACTATTGTTATATGGAAACTCTACATGAACGATCCTTCTAGTGGCCCTTGAAATCAAGAACACACGAACGAAACATATCCGCATGATCTAATTAACCCTCTCGGTCTGGCCATCAGTCTAAGGATGATAAGCAGTGCTAAGATGCAACACTGTACCCAACGCGTACTGACAATTCTTCCAAATTCCTAAAACATAGCTCGAATCCCTGTCCGATATAATAGACAACGGAATTCCATACCATTTCACAATCTCTGCAACCTGGTCAATGCATTGCTGACCCGAGAGTTATGCCTTTAAAACCTTGTGAATGATAGAAGGTGTAACTATCCTGCAAGCCATGAAAACATCTGATAACTCATCCACAGTTTTCAAAGCATTCCACTCAGTGGTGAATAAAGCAGAAAGACTACCAACAGGTCGGCGACTGAGTGCATCTGCCACCACATTCGCTTTCCCCCGGATGGTACTGTATAGAGCAGTGATAGTCCTTCACAAACTCCAACCATCTGCGCTGTTTCATATTCAGCTCCCGCTGAGTGAACAAATACTGCAGACCCTTATGTGTGTTGAATAATTTAGCTCATGAGGCTTAAGCTTACAAGATCCATAAGAAATCTGTCGCTTCTCCTGCATCAACACACATCCCAGTCCCTGCAAAGAATCATCTGTGTAGACAAGATACTCTATCCCATTCTGTGGGGTGGATAAAAATCAGTGCAGAAGTCAACTTACACTTAGCTCATCAAAAGCCTTCTAACAGTGTTCATCCTACACAAACCATACACTCTTTTTAGTCAGATGAGTAAATGGTCCTGCTATTTTGGAGAAACCCAGGATGAACCCACGATAATACCCTGCCAATCCGAGGAAACTCTGAATCTCGGTAGGTGAAGTAGGCTGTCCCCACTCAACCCCCCGCTGAAACCTTGGCTGAATCCACCGCTATTTCCCCTTTCTGACACCACGTGACCCAGAAATCTCACCTCCCGCTGCCAAAATTCACCTTTCTCGAACTTGGCATACAACTGGTGCTCACGAAGCATCTGCAAGACTATCCGAAGATGTCTAGCATGATCGTCCTCTGACCTCAAGTAAATCAAAATGTCATCAATGAAGACAATGACAAATTGATCCAATTACGCCCTGAAGACTCTGTTCATTAAGTCCATGAAAACCACTAGTGCATTAGTCAACCCGAACGGCATGACACAAAACTCATAAGATCCATATCTAGTGAGAAACGCTGTCCTTGGCACATCCTGCCCCCCTAACCCGAAGTTGATGATATCCAGACCGTAGATCAATCTTAGAGAAATACGTAGCTCCCTTCAACTGATCAAAGAAATCATCAATCCTGGGAAAAGGTACTTGTTACGAATAGTAACCTTATTCAACTCCCTGTAATCTATATACAGCCGAAGTGAACCATCATTCTTCTTCACAAACAAAACCGGTGCTCCCCAGGGTGAAATACTCCTGCGAATAAAACCCTGGCTGAGTAATTGCTGAATCTGATCCCTCAGTTCTCTTATCTCCACTAATGCCATCCTGTATGGTGCTCTAGCAATAGGCGTAGTACCTAAAGCTAAGTCTATCACAAGGTCTAACTTTTGACTAGGTAGAAACCCTGAAATCTCCTAAAAATGTCCGGAAAGTCCTGTACAATTGGTATACAATCAAATGTCACAATAACCTCCCCCTATTTTCTCCTCCACATGGAACAAACAAGTGCTAGGACCCCATTAGAACGTGGCATAGCAACGCTGTACATATCTTGACCAGGTATGGTGAACACAATGGACTTATCCAAAACAATCAACTTGAGCATGGTAATGTGATAATCATTCCATCCCAAGTATCACGTCACATAAGTGCATGTCCAGGACCACTAGATTAGCTAGAAATCTCAGTCTACCAATATCTAGTGTCACAGGTACATCACTCCCAAGTAAAATGGCAACATCGCCTAAAGGTGTAGGAACACCGAGAGATCTATCAACATACCTGTGTCCATTAATTTGTAAAATCAAAAATGCTGAAAAACAACGTAGAGCTAAACACATAAGGTATGCACAAATTTCTAAAATCCACTCATATTTAGAGTATCACTCTATCTTGAGCATTCTTCCTTGAAAACCAACTTACCGTATAAGTTCTCTATAAACTCTTTGGTAATCGTCACATCTCCATACAATGTACTTACAAGCATATATCTGTTTGCCTGTCAAAACCAATCACTTCCTTGTGATATTCCTCTATTATCGCAACACACATCCCAATAGTCTAGCAAAACCATATAGGTACATATCACAAGAATACTATCACAAAACATAATAAAGATAGCCAAAACCATTAGTTCACTTTATTAAGAACTTTTCCAAACCATAGCTGTCAAACAAAAAATTGTAAATTATTCTTTAATATACTACTAGTGTACGCGTATAAATCCGTACTACACCCTTATTAAAAATCTCCACTGCCACTAATAATTAAAATTACTCTTAAAATAACCATCCTCCTTGCGGTTTGGTACCCCCCCCCCCCCCCCCCGGCGCACTAGGATGGCCCGATATCTCCGCTTATAGGACACTGCCTGGAAGTGTGACCGTATCCTCCACAAGTATAGCAAGTACCCCTAAAAGTACTAAACGGACTCCTTTGCTGGTTAGACTGTGGCTGATCACGCCCGACCTGTGGTCCCCCATTCTGCTGTCCTTGAGCTAACCCAGAACATTGGTTGGATGTATGCCCAAAGTCTCCATAGGCAAAACAATGACTATGAGACTCATTCTGCACCTCTGGTACTGCTTCGAGTGTTTGTTGAACATGTACCTGACTCTGAAGTGCTGCTACTACGCCTGCAGCTACAGCCTGAGCAATGATGTAAACTAACTGAGGAGAATACTCTGGATCCCTGCCCTGATTGTAGGCCTGACGCTGAGACTCTTGAGTATGCTCAACTTCCTCATGCTCTATCTGCAACTGACCATCTTCCTCCTGAAACCTAGGCACTTGCTGTTCTTCCCCCATTTCCCGATGCCGCAGGCGTTCTTGCTGCCTACGTGCCAGTCTCCTCTGTCGTCTGTTCATATTCTGTCCTCTTCCAGCGTTAACTATACTGTTAACATAGAAAGACAGACATTAGTACGATCATAAACGAACCGTAAAGGAATTCAACGAATCCTAAACTTAAAGCTCTAAACAAAAGAGAACGCTATGCGGAAGTCTTAATACGATAGAATCCTAGAGACACTTGAACCTGGAGTGCTCTGATACCAACTGTGATACCCCTCGATTCTAGAGCCACGGGTGATCAAGTCCGAGCACAGATCCGAGGGATACCAAACAATTAATACATAAACGAACACAGATTACAAAATAGATTTACGAAATAAATATTAAAGCTGGAAAGAATACTAAATTTAAAATCCTCCAAATGATAAAGATTAATAAAAATCCAAATCTCCAAAATAGATACAACTTGGGAATCCATCTAGTGGACCCCTAAAATCCAAACTGAAATAATCAGCTGAAGACAAAATCCTAATCTAGAATATAAAATGAAATCCTACATTATCGGAGGAGTGAGTGTCTGCATCTGCTCTGCACGTCCAAGCTCTAGCCTTGGAACTGACAACACCTGAAAAATAAAGGAGTGGTCAGGCCCACATGTAAGTCCTATTCTACTACAATCCAATCAGAAACCCGATACGCAAATACATCCTAGATAGCTCAACAATATCTAGAGTAGTCCATATATATATAATTACACACTATAGGACGCTCACTAGTCCAAGCGGTACGTCTCAACCTGAGTAGAGATACCATGCAAATCGCACATACTGTGGTCATGTGTATCTGGACCTACCAGGGAACAGAAACAACCGTCCAGTTATCCATCCTAGGCGATATACGCACCCTAACCATGGTCCTGAGACTCAAGCTCATACCATGGCACCATAACATAACTATATAAAATCCGTTCAAGATGTGTCATTCAAAAGGTTTATTGACCTGACACAAAGTTATAAATAGGACTTAACATTTTGCAGTTAATCCATCTTATTTGAAAATAGGTAGGACTTAGTGTTTGAACTAATCCATCCCCAATATGCCACCGTCCCATACCGGTGCATATACACATATAAGTAGGACTTAACTTTTGTAGTTAATCCAACTTATTTCAGAATAGGTAGGACTTAGTGTTTTATACTAATCCATCTCTAGCATAGGTAGGTCTTAGTGTTTTGAACTAAGCCGTCCCTAGTATGCCACCGTCCCATACCGGTGCATACAAACCTCCACATAATAAAATTGATTAAACAGTATTAAGCAATTCATCAATCATACTCCACATTATGCATCAATATAAATTAATACATATATATCAGTATTAAGCATTAAATATAAGGCCTAAAAATAACATTCTAATAATATAAACTGTAAAATAATCTAAACACTTACATTCTCCAACTTGTCCATAAATTGATGCAATTAAATAGCAAACATATATCAATTTTTAATCCAAACAAAACATAGATAATTTCAGGTAAATCACTATACTTATATGATTTACAGCTTTAAATCATAAATAAAAACAATCTCCAATTTACAGTAATAAATTTCTTAACCATAACAGTGCACAACCTACAGGTTTTTCCTCAAGTTCACCCTACTTCATTCCTTAATCAAATTATGAATTGACGTTTCCCTATTGTTTTTACAGTTTACAACATTCCTACACATGATTTAAAATAGTTTAAACCAAGTAAAAATACCCTGCACCGACCAAACAGACCCTAAAAATACATAACTGTGCGTTTCAGAGGAAGAGAAGGCTCAGAAAAAATTTAGAGCCTTCTCCAAAATATGGGAGCCGGCTCCCCACCCTTGGGATCCGGCTCTAAGGCCTTGAGAGCCGGCTCCCTACATGTGGGAGCCGGCTCTTGCATTGTGGGAGGCGGCTCCCTCCTTTGGGAGCCGTCTCTCTCACCCCTAAGAGCTGTCTCCCCGTTTCTGCTTCGTTTTCCTCGACTTCGGCGTGTTCCACGACCTCTGTATTTGTTTTAATACTTGCTCTAAGGTTTAATTAGTGTCCTACAACAGTTATAAAGCATTGACATGCATCAAAGACATCAATTAAACAAAGCTTAAACTTAAACGAAGCATGCATCAATTAACCGACCTGAAAGAACTTGTAATACAGTTTAATTCCAACAAAGCTATTTCAGTTTACCCAGGCCTCTGTAAATCTTTTACTACGTGTTCTATTATTCAATCAATGTCCCAGACTAATTTTTAAGACATCAATATGCATCAAGGTTCTCAATTAAACATAGTTTAAACACAACAACGGTAGGAACCAGTTAACAAAGATTACAGAAATTCGCATATCAATTTAATTCAATGGAACTAAAAATATTTCAAATATGCAATAAAGACTTTTTTTAGCATCCATTAAAGCCCTGGAGTCTACCTAGGCATGCACAGAACACGAGTTAAAGGGAAAGAGCTAGAACAAGACTTGCCTCCAATTTCAGTTCAGAAACCTTTAAACCTCAGTCTCTAGCAACTCCGGCGACCTTAGTTGTTTTTACTGACCTTCGTTGCTCCTAATTCAATCCACGAGCATGCATCAACACCTCCTCCTTGGTTCAGCCCTTAACTCTAAGCCAACCCTAACCTTTCTTTCTCTGTTCTCACAACTCTCTGTAGGACTCTATTACGTGAATAGGGTTAACCAAAGCCCTTGGCAGACCTATACTTATATATTTATAGGTTTTAATTGAAACCCTAATTTAAATCCTACACCAACCCTAAGTCGGCTAAGTTCAAACATAAAACCCTAGAATCCATCCACTACCTAAGTCGGTTAGCGTTTTTTATACGTGCATATACAAGAGAAATACAATTTAACAGTTAATGCAAGAAAATAAATGTAAACAATCAATTAAAGAAAACAAATACACAATTAATTGAATTAAAATAAAATAAATCAAATAAGCAAATAAATGAAATTTAAACCACATTTAAATCAAATAATTTAACAATTAATGCAAATACACACTTAATCAATTTTAAAATGCAAAAATAAATAATTAATTAAATACCAAACCTATCCTTTTGAATTTAGGGGTATTACAAAGCCTGTATAACCTCCGCATCTTTTACTATCTCTATTAACGGTGAATTCCATGGGCATTTTCCAGGGGTGAAGGGGTTGAGGCAAGGGGATCCCATCTCACCCCTACTTTTTGTGGTTGCCATGGAAGTGTTTACATCTATCACAAAAAAATTCATTGCTGCCAACCACTCCTTTAAGTTTCACTCAAGATGCAGGAACTTGACTATCTCTCACCTCATCTTCACTAATGATCTTCTCTTATTCTCTTATGGGGACTTGACCTCAATTGGTACTCTCAAGCAGGCTCTTGATCATTTTTCTATGCTCTCTGGTCTATGCATTAACCATTCGAAGAGTAGTTTCTTTGTGTCTGGGGTCAACAATGCACTCACCAATGAAATTGACACTGCTGGGATTTTCATGTGGAGATTTGCCTATGAATTGCCTTGGTGTTCCACTAATTTCTTCATCAATTAGGGCAGCTGATTGCAGACCATTAGTGGAGAAGGTTACTAGAAGAATCACTCATTGGTCATCTTCCTTTCTTTCCTATGCGGGCAGAATACAATTAATCTAATCGGTGCTCTACAGCATGGTTATCTACTGGCTAAGCATTTTCATTCTGCCTAAGTCAGTTATTTCTGAGATTAATGGGCTTCTAAGGAATTTTCTTTGGAAAGGGAACGAGCTTTCTTACACTGGCGCTAAAATTGCCTGGCATGCTGTATGCCAACCCAAAAACTGTGGAGGCCTGGGGTTTCGAAATTTAGAGATCTCTAACACTGCTGCTAGCCTTAAGCACCTATGGAATATTATTTCAGAGCGCAGGAACAGTCTTTGGGCTCAATGGGTAAGGACACAACTTGTACGTGGAAGATGTATTTGGACAATGAATATTCCTCAAGCATGTTCAAGTAACTTCAAGAAACTCTTGCAGCTTAGAGGGTTTGCCCGCTCAATGATAAGGATGAAGGTTGGTGATGGTAACAGAATTTTTTTCTGGGAGGATAACTGGCTTCCTAATGGTCCACTTACCTATCAAGCTAACCCTGATTTAATTCAAAACATACCTATTTTGCCGGGACAGCACCTATCCTTACTTGGGGGAAATAAGGAGAGTTGGAATTTCATACCTCCTCTTACCTTTCATTTTCCGGATCTCCTTCAGATTAATAATCCCTCTTCAACACCTGACACCAGCATATGGATTCCCTCACCTTCGAGTGACTTCTCCCTCAAGCACACTATAGGCTGGCTTGCGCCTCACCATCAACCAAGGCACTGGCAACATCTTGTTTGGAATTCATTTTCTATTCCTCGTTGCAAATTTACTCTGTGGCTAGCAATACAAAATCGTCTTTCAACATATGACAGAAGATGTATGCAATCCTTCACTGGGTCTAGACTATGCCTACTCTGCCAATCTGTTGACGAATCTCATGACCACATCTTCTTTTCCGCACTTTCTCCAACCCAATCTGGAGATATCTGCAATCCAAGTGTCGATTGCATGTTGTACCCAATTCTTGGGTGGACTTCGTCAATTGGGCTTCTTATCGATGGAGAGGGCGGAATCTGCAGAACTCGATTAACAAGCTTGTGCTCTCCACCACTGTCAATCAGATTTGGATGGAACGCAATGAACGGGCCTTCACAAATCAAAGAAATTCACAGAATAGGGTGTTAAATCAATCTATGGAATTGGTGAAACAGAGACTTTTATCTATAAGTGTGAAAGACTCACCTTCTGCGAGGAGAATCATGCTTGATTGGGACCTTCCTCAGTACTTCATCAGACCACCGCCGGAGCCAGATTGATCACTAGAGGCTCTGCCTCTTTGCTTTGACGAACCGGATGTTAGTTGTTTTAGACATACCTATTTTAGGGCTTCTAGAATATCAGTGTCTTTATTCAACTGTTAAATGGGCCTCTTCGGCTTGTCTGTTTAGTGCCGTATTGGGCCTGCTCTTTGTAACTTGCAATTTTATCACTTCAATACAATCAATTACCTTCCGGAAAAAAAAAAAAGAAAAAAAAGAACCTCACACGCCCTTGTATGCCTAAAGGTTCGTTTGGCTAGCATGAACTAGCCACAAAAGAAAAGAAACGTTTTTTTTTTTCCCCCCCCCAATTTTTTAGGAGTCTCGTATTGATGGAAAAGAACTTTTTGAAAAAGTTGGATTCTCGCAATGGTTTATTTCCCTCCAAAGTTTTCTTGCAAAAAAATACCGGAAAATTTTAGCTTCTCATAAAAATTGTATCATTATATTTTAATTTTTAATTATACCCTTGTCTTATTAGTTTTAATTGATAAATTAGGACTTCGCTATTAAGTAACAATTTTCTTTGTCCTTAATTCCTTATATTAGGATTGTTCTCCATTATCCCACAAGAAGTATTAAGATTAACGATAGGGGCAGAGTTACTGAAGGGCTAACCTGGGTTATAACCCTAGTCCAATGGTCTATATGCAATACTACTCTTCAATTTAACTTTGCCCACTTTGCAATCCAAACTCCGCCCACAAACACAAACACTCCTCCAATGCATTCATGTTTTTACAAGAGGTGGTTTAGTCTTCGTTGGTGTGCATTTTTACGCATTGCTTTGTATAAATCAAGGTCCGTAATGAAAAACCCCATGGTCATAGTTTTACAATTTTACTTGTTACAAAAAGAAATTAAACAAAAAATCTCAAATTATTTGATTAGTTTATTTATAACTAGTAGGCTAGTAGCAGCATACCATGAAATTCCCTATTTGATCTTATATATATATATATATATATATATATATATATATATATTTCACTTTTATACTATCCAAACTAATAAAATAATATTTTCTTATGAATTTTTTACAAAATTTCATGCTAACCAAATGCACAATAAAAACTTAATTTTCTTTTCCTTCACTTCACTTTCTTTTTCTTTTACTTTTCGTCATCAATTTCCATCTAACCAAACAGACTCCAAGGGACTCAAAATCTCACAATTTTTTTTAGCTAGTAAAGGAGAAGAGATGCCACTAAACTACACAATAAAAAATTCCAAACATAGTTCATTTCTTTATTATTATTGTATGCATTTGATCATTTAAGAAATAGTTAAATATTTTGGTGATAGATAGAAAATGGATGGAACTCTGCGCAAAGTTTGTCTTAATTTATAAATAATATTTTTGAATGCATCTAATATCCAATAACGTATATCATTTTTGAATTTATCTAATATCCAATAATATTTTTGAACACCTGTGTTTTAACATATACATGAATGAATAAATTTTAATAAACCTTTCCATATTGTAAACTGAGTAACAACTGTAAAACTGTGTGAGACATGATGTAATACTGTGTGAGACATGGTACAAAATTGCTCTAGTATCACTCGCATTGTGCATCAACCAATAGTGCTTTAGGAATGCCTGGACATGGGTCGCCACCAAAACTTTTATATGAATGAGGAATGGAACATTTACTCTTCCCAATACAAGCCTGCAAAAATTACATTCCAGTAAAAACAATTTAATGAATGTAGAAAAAAATTTAACCATGGGATGCAATAAATTATTTCAACAATGTCAAAAGAAAAGAAGAGGAATACTTTGGACTCTTCAACTAGGGAATGAAATGATGTGGATCCATGTAAATCTGACTGTTAAGATCCTATTAGGATCCGAACTCAACTCATATCTTGTGAGCATAATTTGAATCCAAATCCAAATCCGAATCCAAATCCGAGCTAAATAGGAAATGGATTAGAACATTCAATCCTATAACCCATTAGCGATCCGAATCCTATAATCCGTTAGTTTGACAAATCGGATATAGATTTGATCGATCCGATCCGAATTCGATCTGTTGACCTTGAGGAATTCATCCTACGTCAATTTAGTTGTTTTGATGATTACAAACCTTTAATGATGTTTAAGAACTAATATTTTCATTGAGTGATATAGATGATTCATATTCAAAGGAGAACCTCAATAATGAGCTATGAAGATCATTCCAAGTATCTTAAGATCAATAGACACAAAGAGTCTTAAAGTTGCAAGAAAATAAATGCATATCTAATCAAAGAGAATTTGGACTACGCTAATCAATCAAGCAACTCAAAGGACGAAAGCAAGATTTCCTCAAACCTAAACGATCATGGTCAAAGCTTGAAGAAAGGGGTAAGGTTGGTGAGTGATTAGGATCAATGTTAAAGTATTTTGAATAAACTCTTCTTTTTTTTTCTTTTTCTTTTTTTTCTTTTTTTGATAAATGAATCTATTTGAAACTCTTATCTATAGGATCATGCATAATCATTCTCATTTTATTCTCAATTACCTAAAGATTGGTCATGAACTTCATGTAAACACTATCATATGATCTACACGTGATAGGAAGTGTATAGGACACAAATAAAACCATTTTGGGTCATACACAGTGAAGGAGCCGCCTCCCTACGAAAAAGAGCCTCTTTTTCATCCAGAATGGAATTTTCACACAAGACTCCCACAAGCAGTAAGGGAGCCGCCTCCAATTTTAGGAAGCCGGCTCACAGAGCAAGGGAGCCACCTCCTTTTTTAGGGAGCCGGCTCATAGAGCTAGGGGAGCCGCCTCCCTTCAAAAGGAGAAGCCTCCTTTCTAGCATATTTGAAATCCAACGGCTAGAAACACATTTAATACCTATAACAACCTTCCAACAGCTATATTGAGCTCCAAAACTCTATAAATAGAGAAGGAATGTCTGAAGAAACATACACAACTTTGAGTGAGCATTCCATAGCCTTGAAAGAGCATTAAAAAGCACACATTGAGCATTCATTCCATCTTTAATTCTCATATCATCTTAGAGACCTGAGCTTCATATATATATATATATATATATATATTCATCTATACTTGTAGTTGGGAGCTGAAATTTGTACATCTATCTTTGAGAGAAATCCATTGTACTTCATTGTTCTAGTTACAACAATTGTAAAGGGTTGGTGTGACCCAAAAGAAGACTAGGAGAAGGTTGTTCTCCTAGTCTTCCGACTTGCTTCATGTGAAGGTTTGCTCTCCACCCGTAAGGAGAATCTCTAGTGATTTGGGGAAGTCTCAAGAGGGATCTTGGGCCGAGGAGTAGGAGTTTCCGAACCTCGCTAAAATCGCAAAGTCATTGTTTGCAATTTCTCATCACTATCTCTCTTACTATTATGCTTTAAATTGCTTGTCTATTGCATTTGATTATTGCATACTTGTTTTAAGAAGCTAGCTAGAAATCATTTTCACAAATTGCAAAAATTGGCCATTGACTCTATTCACCCTCTCTAGAGTCAATTATTGGGTAACACGATCTGTTGACAGGCCTAGATACAAGCAATGCACAATCTAAATAAGCCTTAATATAGGCAAATGCGCATTGTTTGTGTCAAATCTCGGGTTAAGCCCAATTCATTTCATGCCTATTTGTACCCATAATCTAAATGATATCCATCATGAATCTTCTAAAGAAATCCATATCTACAAACTAAAATGAATTTGGGATCAGACTTCAAGTGAGACCTTATTTATTTCATGTCAAAGCAACAAGTGCACCACTGTCCAACCTAGGATCTGGATACTCTCCTCTACGAGATCCGGACGTGTGTCTAGTGCGCCAAAACAGTGCCATTTTGGTGCATAGGAGGGGATCCTCTTTCGTCCAAACTAATGGATGAGGATGGACAGCTGCAACCATTTGTAGCACTACGAAAGCAACAAACATACATATTTTTGTAAAGTCAAATGGGCACAAATTATTGCAGTGCAGGTCACATTTTTAAACCCGAAATAGCTATATGAAACCACATTTTCTTTTATTTACCATTTCCTTATCCACAAAACAAAGCACTAGTGCATTCAAAGAAGATAAACAAAGGACAAGAACGGCTAACCTTCTCCACAATGGCTCTAGAATTAGACGAGTGACAACTTCCAACTGCATAACTACTGCAGTCACCAGAAGGAGTTCCATAGCTTGCGAATAAAATTCTGGAAATGTTTCTTTTGGAAGGACAATGAAGCTCCACTTTTGGTCTCCAGTCATGGTGCTTTTCGTACCTCATACCATTCTGGTAGTAACTCTTCCATGAAACTACTGGCGGCAAATGTGAATCAGAGACATGCCCGCATACTTTTGTGATTGAAATAGTGTCTATAGAAATATCAAGAGGGTTCCCGAATTCTTCATCCACCAAAACTAATAGGTTTCCTGTAGGTTTAAGGAAGGATCGAGGTATATTGTACCTATATACAAAGATAAAAGTTGTGTCAGAACTCAGAAAAGGTAGAGACTTAGTATTCATGATGTGGAACAAGTATGATGCTCAATGGGGTAGAATATTCGGGATTTAATAGGCACACAACACGAGTGTGAAGAGACTAGTCCTTGGCAAAATTTCATAAAAAGTAGGGGACTAGACAATCTAAAAATCTTTGGACTTCTACAGTAACAAGAAGATAATTTTGAGAAATGAAATTGTACAAAGTTTGTGAAAATCTATCATTGGACATTATTTTGCACAAAATGAATGACCCAAGACTCGATCAAGTGTCATAACGCTTATCAATCCGAACTTCTACAATTGACCAAGCAATAATCCATGAAAGGTATATACTGTGAAATTTTTTAGATTGACTTACGACTTATAATAACAATGGAAATTTAGTTCTTTCCAGAGTGAATTATTAAAGGGCATCAGTCACACTGGGTTTAAAGCCCTATTCTTTATTGATTCCTCTGTCTTTCCCTCAACATTGTTCATTACGTACCATATCTGAGAAGGAGACCCTGCAGGGGTATGAAATGAGACCCAATATCGACCAATGCTTTGGCCATTAACCCAAGCTTCACCTTTCCCCATCGAACCAAGGTTCAACGCAACCGGATCATTACCCCCAGGTGCGTCAAATACAGTCTGTTAAAGTAGCAATCAACAATGATTAACATAGTTATAGAATTTAACAAATTCACATAGAACCAACTATAGGAATTAAATACTGTATTTAATTTATGGACAACAGCCTCATGAATGATATTAAAATATCACTAATTAAGTGTTTGAAAATGGAATGAGGGCCTATCAAATGAACCCAATGCATCACAATCCCCAAAAGAGTGCTTGGATTGAAGGAATTGAAATATCACTAATTCAGTGCTTGTGAATGAAATGAGGGCCTATCAAAAGAATTCATTGCATCACAAATCCCTAAAGGGTGTGTTCGGATAGAAGGAATTGGAAGCAAACGAAAGGAAATGGAAGGAGAAGGATGGGAAAGGAAGGACTTGCTAACTTGTCTAAGAAAGACGAAATTAACCCATCTTTGGGAGCATCAAATCGGTGTCTTAAAATTGGAATTGGAGTAACATTTATCCAGACACTTTAAACATATGAAGACAACTAAAAGTGTGGGAAAAAAAACTTTAGAACATATAACAAATTCCCTGACCTTGCACCATGTGAGTGGTTTACAAGAGTCGTCAAATTTGTTCCATTGAACTTTAAACATAAGACGACAACTAAAAGTGTGGGAAAAAAAAATATCAACATATAACAAATTTCCTGACCTTGTACCATGTGAGTGGTTTAAAAGAGGAGTCAAATTTGTTTCTTTACTTGATCCATCAACTGAATAAATTTGACGACAAAGCCCTAAAGGGTGTGTTTGGATAGAAGGAATTGGAAGCAAACGAAAGGAAATGGAGGGAGAAGGAGGGGGAAGGAAGGACTTGCTAACTTGTACAAGAAAGACGAAATTGACCCGTCTTTGGGAGCATCGAATCGGCGTCTTAAAATTGGAATTGGAGTAACATTTATCCAGACACTTTAAACAAATGACAACAACTAGAAGTGTGGGGAAAAAAATTTATCAACATATAACAAATTTCCTGACCTTGTACCATGTGAGTGGTATAGAAGAGGAGTCAAATTTGTTCCATTGAACTTTACTCGATCCATCAACTGTATAAATTTGCAATTTCTCTCCCAGCAACCCCACCTATGTGAAATCATTTAATACATAGTTGCTTACAAAGAGAAAGTAGAATAACCTGCGAATATAGGAAATATAACATAAAAAGTACTGGCAAAATCAAACTTACCCTATTCATCTTTTTTTTTTTAAAGTACTAGCAAAATCAACTTTTCGGAATTTAAAACTAATTTAAATGGTATATTAACCTTATACAGGCAACTAGAAGCAAGTAAATAGACGAGGGAAAGTGAAAGATTTGAATTTGTATATTATAGCGTAGCTAGAGAAATACCTGATATCCCCAGGAATAGTTAGTGAAATTTTCAAGTTCTTTTTTGTCTGCAATTGTCACTCTACGTAATCCGGTAACCCTTCGCTCAAGAAATGCCCCTGAATCCTTCGCACCACATAGTCCAGGAACTTATCGGTATTTTACGGAATAATAATGATATTATTTATGATTATTTATATATGCTGGAAAAAAATTACAGTGGCCATTTATAGCTGAATTTTGTTTCAGAAGTGCCAGATCAGAAAGTAAATTATTGCATAATCCATTTTATTAATTCTAAAGTTGCCTCCTGGAATTTGAGGAGCACAAATTTATTCAATTGAAGAAACATGAAGAGCATTATAACATCTCCATTATTCTAAATGCATTGGAAATTCAAGAATATCATCAAAACTGAGATCGAATAGTACCGGTAATCCAACCATTATGCTTAGTAACGAGATATTATTCATCCCATTGTTTAAAGAAATTATATTCTCCAGAGAACAACTTGGATTTTTATGAGCTCCATGTGCAGATCCTGAAGGACAAAAAATTGGAAGTTCAATAGTTAATTGTGCTAAAATATGACGATGTAAGGGAAGTCACTGCTACGAGTTTTTGATAGGCAGAAGAAAGAAATGAAAATGTAACTTTTTATGTATATCCTCGGGAGAATAATATAATAGTACTAATGACGGTGATGAAAACAATAATAATGAAGAAGAAAGTGAGTTTATATGTAGTTCTTATTTTCATGTTTGAGTCGCGTGTTTGAAGTTAATGCCCTACTTCAAGGACATGCAGCTTACCTACAAGAGCTCCATTGACGAATGCACGCAGAACATGTGCAAGAGAGTTCACCTTGAGTACAGACTGTGCATCAGAGGAATTGTGCTGAAACCTATCAATATATGAATTATAAGAATCACATTAGTCGTCAATAAATGTTTTCTGAATATTATATATATTTGATATATCAGTGTTTTTTTTATCATTATTATGTTATATATCCATCTGCAAAACATAAAACAATACAGGGTTCTAGAAACGAGTGGCTTAATCATAAAATTGTTTTCCATGAAATTCTTCTTTCAAACTTGAATCCCGCTCCCATGCTTGGCAACTAAAACTTTTACAGTAACTTTGCCATTATATTATTGATTTTGGTACCGTAATACATTAGAAAATTAAGAATAAGATTTTTATACCTCTATTGTATAGTCACTAGTGACATGATTTTAGGATGAAGTACAAGAAAAATATGAGGGAGGTAAGAAACAATGAACTTGTGTGAAAGCAAAGACCACACACATTCTAAAAAGGTGCTCTTTTCTTAAGATTTATCACCTCCAAAAATATGATTGACCAAGATCATATGGGAATTTTCCTGTAATTCCAAGCTTCGAAGTTAAAAATTCCGAAAATGTTATTTGTAAAAGTCTAAGGTCTAAAGTACTTCTTTGTCAATTTTGGCCATTGGTAATTTGGAATTCATATTACCCTGTTTGATATACCACTAGGCCATTAGCCCAACTGGTGTAACGTAACCTCTCCTCCCTCAAACAGGAAGTGGAGTTCGAGCCCCATGGTTGGCATTTTTGCGGGTGTGTGAGAATTTACCTCACCAAAATAAATAAATAAATAAAATAAGATAAAATATACCCTGTTGAATTTTGAATACAGGGCAATCTTTTAGTACCAAATTAATGAAATATAGAGAGTTACACATGAGTTCAAGATAGTGTCTGGGTGAACTTAAAAAACTTTAAACCAAGATATAGTTCAATAAAATTCAGCTAATCTTTTAGCAGCAAATTAATGAAATATAGATAGTTACACATGAGTTCAAGATAATGTCTGGGTGAACTTAAAAAACTTTACACCAAGACACAGTTCGGTAAAATTCAGATAATCTATTTCTCCCACCATTTATCAGTATCTAAGTGTGTAAATATATTCATTGACATTTTTGTTAATTTATCTATATGTCCTGTAGTTACATAAACATATACGAGTAGACATACATACATATACATGCATAATGTACAGATTTCGTCAAAAATTCAGATACAATAAGCTGCACACAAATGTTTGTTTACCTGAAAGTGTACCAAAGGTAATCAGACACGTCCTTTGTCGTATTCATTTGCTCTAATAACTTATCCGATCTCAAGGAAGTTTCATCAAACCAGGGAACAGGTTCATGAAATTCTTCCCATCTATCAATTGAATTGAACTTCAAGGTTGGCACCATCGATCGTGTACCGTATTGTGTACTCACCTGTTCCAGATGAACAAGAGTAAGACCTTCAATTAATCTTGCTACGTTAAGATTAGGTAATCGAGATATCTTAATATCGGTTAAAAATGAGGTTGATATATAATTTATTCCCATTTATATGGAATAAGGTAAGAACGATAATGATGACAACGACGATGGCCTTCTTCTTTATTATTCAAAAACTCGCCTTTGCAGTGTTGAAAGCTACAGTCTTGCAGTCAGGTAAGATGCTAATTGAGGTTGGAGGCAATTCATATGTGGAATTCTGAAATTGCACCGGTGCTTTTTCCCTCTCATTACTATTCAGCAGAAAGGCTGCACATTTTCCTGAGTTCCCATGGAATACAATGGCCTAAATGAAATGAATAAACAAACATTAGACTTTGCGCCATATATGATAGTGAAAATAAATTAAATCAACGTTAAAGAAATTAAAATTTCTTGTATCATACTTCTTGTTGTGGTCCCAAAGATGAATTAATTGGTGCTCCTGAAAGTAAAGGCTCTGAGCAAAGCTTTATTGCAGCATGTAACTCTTTGAGATGGCCCCATTTTGGCTGCCTTTTCATACCTAAATTTATAAATTAAATTAGAAATATTCAAAAAAAAAAAAAAAAACTCTGCCAGGAAAGGGCCTTAAAACAGCAATCTGACACCATCAATTTTTTTTAAAAAAAAATTGAAAATAATTATACAATTATAGTAATAATTAATCATTTATACTTTTATACACTTAATTACATATCTTTAAACGAGATGGGGCAGAGATTTTCGTAGGCATACCATACTCATCAAGAGGAGCTTGATCATAATAACTAGTAAGTACATATGCAGAAGCTGTTCTTCCAAAATTAGTTCCTCCGTGATACTATAACAAAACAATATAGCTTAATAAGAATTCAATTTTTGATTTGAACTACATATTGCTTATGTGATAACGATACAATAGAGAAGAAATGCTTTATACATTATATGGTCATTGGATGGTAAAGAGTTACGAAAGAGACTATCATACCATATAATAGTTTACAAAACTCCCATTTTTCTTCGCAATGAACAGTGCAACCTGAAATGCAATGTCCTCAGCAGATCTCAATGTTGTATCCTCACCGTATGCTTGATAGCTTCAAGAAAAAACAGAGTCATAATACGAGTTTAATAATGCAAGTAAATTATTTCATTTGTAATTTTTGAGTTCAGCAAAAATTATATAGCATTTGTTTCCTTGATTATAAAACACACACACATAGAGAAAAGGATATATGCTTATGTGGTTAGATAAGTACTTACTAAGTTGTCCAATTTTCGGTCCATAATGACGGCTTATTTGGTGAGTTTGGCCCTACAAATGTTTCTCCGCATTTCATTCCATTGCATGTATTGATCTGCAAATTGCAAAATTACATTCATCCAAGATTATTATCTCATCACGAGGAACAAAAGATCTGTTTAGAAGCAACACAAGGAAGAGTGTTACTAAATAGACTAAAATGCTGACATTCTATCTAATGACCTAATTTGTGATGTGAATATGACTCAAAACCTAATATAGAAGCCAAATTAAGTCGTCGTGCCGTTTTGTAGTCTCACCAAAATTTAGAGGTGGAACTTGGGCTCACAGTCTTCAACTTGTGTCACCTATTTAAGTAACTATTTTAGAATTACGTTCAGATTGGGTTGAACATGGCTCAATTTAAGGTATCACACAACACAGACTCAATCTCAACCGTCCAAATTGAGCAAGTTACACTTAATCCAAATGCTAATCCAACAATAAATCCATATTGTGCTCAGCTTGCCAGTTCAGATTGGACTATGGTAGAGCTCAATTAGTCTTATACCTCAAACCGAGCCTAAACAACTTTGTATATATATATATATAGAATATAGTTTTTTGGATATTAATTTTATGGAATAAGTCATACTTTCTTTCTTTTTTTTTTGTTTAAAAAAAAAATCCTATGCAGGAGTAACTCAAGCAGAACTTATTCTGAAAATAACCCAAAATCAACTCCATTTTCCAAACCCAAACTAAAAAAAATTTAATCACCAGTTGAGCTCAGATTAAAGGTCGGATTTGGTTAGGCTTGGATAATAAAGTCTGGTTTTTCTCGAATCCGCTCAATCCATCTAAGTTACATGTTTACAAAGATTTATACAAGTGAAAGTCAAGGAGACTAACCACTGGATCAGGGGCATCATCTTGCTTGCACATCATCCACGGCACACCAGTGTCAAGTCCTACTGCCATTTGTGCTGCCCAACGAACATAAGGCGGACCTTTCTCATGAAAAGCTTTTTCTACGTTTTGATACTCATTCTCAATCTACTTATGCATTACAGAAACTAATTGTATTAGAACTTAGAACATGACTGATATAATATGTATGTTTGCGTCGAAAATTAAGTACATTCTAATCATAGGCTTAACCTGTGATAGTATTATTGGACCGCCTTGAGAAGCATATAGTCCCTCTGACTTCATCATTTGTACAATTTTTGTAGTAAACTTTTGCATTTCAATCTGCCATCAATAGGATTAGATTAATATACAAGTTTTGGTCACTTCATTGAAATATTACAAGACTATATAATAAACATATATTGAGTTTGGAATTCAACTACCTTGAACGGTTCATTATCAGATCGATAAACTATGCCTGGAATATCATGCAACCAAAATGGTAAACCTCTGCAAGACCATAGCCATCCATGAGGTGTAGTTATATATTACAACTTAATTATAAATTCACTTTATGACATCTATAACTCAAAGTAAACTACAGTATGTCAAACATATTTCAATTCTTATGTTATATTGGGTAACATGGAAATGGTGCTTGGAACTTGAGAAAAATTAGTTCCAAATTTCGAACTAATTCATCTCCAATTCCAAGCCCAAACACCAATTTCATGCAATTGAAAATAGCTTTATGTTGCGTTAGATCGGTGCTTTGGATTTAGATTAGAATAAGAGGAAATTTAGTTCAAAGTTAGCTCAAATCAGAATTGGAACAAATTTAACCCAAAATCTTAACTACATTTGTTCCAATTCCAAATCCAGGACAGCGATTCGGTACTCCCAAATACAACATAATTTTTTATCAATTCCTAATCCCCACATTCCCGATTCGGTGTTCCCAAAAATATCATTGTTGTTATTCAGACAAAAATCCCCAAATCAAAGCCATCATTTATTATGGGTTTTATATCAATATACAAATACACATAAAATGGATAAGTTATACGCATATATATATATATATAAGAGTGAAAATGAAAGTAGTGATTAATTTTACCCATAAGACCATTCACTCTCGATGAAGGGTCCAATCCTGAGGCTCGCATATAACCCTTGTGCTTGGACTTCCTTAATGAAACCTACTATGTCATGTCTTCCACTAAAATCATACTGCAATACAAAGATAATGAGAGTGTAAATATATATACACCCACAAATATATACATACATACATACATACAAGAGAGACGGTGTGTGTTCATGGTTAATTACCTGCCCAGGTTGGGGCTCATGGACGTTCCAAAACACATACGTTTGAATAACATCTAATCCTCCGTCTTTAGCTTTTGCGATCAAAGATGGCCACATCTACAAATTCACACATTTTTATATCATTAACAAATCTTCAAAGTTCAAGCAAAAGTATCCACATATTCACACACAACTGGTTAAAAAAACACACACACACACACTCAAGATAGAAGTGACTTTTCACTCACATTAGTGTTTAGTTTTGACCAGCCTTAGCCTTCAAGGTGGGCTTGACAAGGCATATGTGGTCCAACCCATATAAAGTCCATCTTGGACAGAGGGATCCACAGCAAAGGTCCAAAATCAATTGTACTGCTCTAATTCTTTCTTCTTCTATTTTTTTCTTTATTTTGTTTTTTTTTGGTTATTTTTTTGGTCATGTAAAATACATACTTAGAAATCTTGATAAATTATTAGATGGTTGTAGAACATTGTGGTCCACTTAAATTAAGCGTGTCAATAGATCAGATTTGGATTCGGATGGGAGCGGATCGGATCCGCCAAATTCATATCGAAGTATTGAATTCAGATTAATTTATATTGAATTATTATTAATGAATTATCGGATTGAATGTTCCAATTCAGATCCTAATTGGCTCGGATTTGAATCAGATCGAATTCTGTTCGGATTAAAATTATATCAACGCACATGTCTAATTAGAAGGTTAGATAGAGGAGAATTGTTAATAAATAGACGGTGCCTGTGAGGCCCTTTAATTACTAAAATACACACCAACATACACATAAATTAATAAAAGGCCATATTCAATTTCGAATTTAATTACTAAGTTTTTAAGAGTCCTAATTTTGAATGGACTGTAAATTCGCTTAATCGAATGGTCCTAAGTTTTTATTTATTTATTTGGGCCTATCACTTATGGAAAGGGGCCTAAGATTTTATTTTTTTATTTATTTATTTTATTTTAATTTTTTTTTTGGACCTATCACTCATGATAAGGGGCCTACGTGTTTTTTTCTTCTTTTTTTTTTTTGAACCTTGAGGCCTCTAAATGTTGAGGCAGGGTCAGCCCTGGGTGCATAATATAATTATACAACCAAATGAATCTAATTGTTAAATAATTAATATATAAAAATTTAATAGTAGATAACTCATAAATATAATACTCCGTGTAAGAGTAGTAGATGACTAATTAATATATATAATTTTAATAGAATTGTATCTCTATCGAATCGAATTACCTATAATGCATGACCAATTTATGAAGGTGACGAATTATTGGAGAATTATCCAAAAAAAAAAAATTTATTCAATTCGTATAGGAGTGTGATAAGATAAATTGGACCAATAAGAGTGTGTTAAGATATTACAAAAAAATTTGAACATTTAATTTGATTGGATTGAACCACCCAGTGATAGATGTAATAATGGAAGGAAGTTTTGTTAACACTCTTTTTTTCTCGAGAATTACGCCTCAATTTGGGGAAAAATTAAGAAAAGAAACCGTCAAGAATTTGTTGAAAAATTGTCCGAATGAGAAAATATGAAGGGAAAAAGAAAAGGGACTTCTTGCAACTTTCTACATCAATTTTCTTTCTAAAAGTAATAAGGTGGTGAGGAAAGATGAGAAAAAATTGTCCGAATGAGAAAATATGAAGGGAAAAAGAAAAGGGACTTCTTGCAACTTTCTACATCAATTTTCTTTCTAAAAGTAATAAGGTGGTGAGGAAAGATGAGAAATACGTTCTTCTGTTTTCCGTTCCTTCCCTTCTTTTATTTCCTTTAATTTTCTCACTTGTTTTTGTGAACCAGGTAAAGAGTCTAAAGCCGAATTTGGTAGGCATGAATGGAGTGAAGTTGAGAATGGAACGAGAAATGAAATGGTCATTCTTCTTAACTTGTTTGATTGTAAATATGAAATAATGTAGAAATAAAATAATAATTACAATTCTAAATGGTGGTGGAAGTAGGCGATTGTGGAAGAGGCCTTTTGGGGTAAAGTTTAAGAGCAAAACATTGCCCGCTTAAGCTTAAAGTGGACAATATCATACCATGTAGTGGAGTGGATCGTTACAAATGGTATCAGAGCCTGACCCAGTCGGAAGTGTGCCGACGGGGACATCGGGCCTCTAAGAGGGGTGGATTGTGATAACCTTGTGGGCAGGTGTGTAGTGGGCAGGTGCGAGACACTGACAGGCTACCATACTGGCGAGTTACGAGTACACAACCCACATCGCCTGGGAAAGGGAAAGGTGAAGTACTTATATATAAGTGTGTCATCTCCAATTAATATGAAACCTTTTAGGGTAAAGCCCAAGAGCAAAATCGAGCGCGCTCGGCCCAAAACGAACAATATCATACTATGTGGTGGAGTGGGTCGTTACAAATGGTATCAGAACCTGACCCAGCTAGAAGTGTGCTAATGAGAACGTCAGACCTCCTAAGGGGGTGGATTGTGATGACCCTGTGGGCGGGTGTGTCGTAGGCAGGTGTGAGACACTGTCAGGCTACCACACTGGCGAGTTATGGGTGCATAGTCCCACATCGCCTGGGAAAAGGAAAGGTGAAGTGCTTATATGTGGTGGTGTTATTTCCAATTGGTACGAGACTTTTTGAGGTAAAGTCCAAGAGCAAAACTGTGTGGAAGACAGTGGCGGTGGAGAAATGTGGTGGCAAAAGGCGGTAACGACAATGACAGAGGTAGAAGGTGGTGGGCCGGTGGCGACAGAAGAAGGCAGAAGGCGGCAACGGTGGCCAATAATTTCATTCCATGGAATGAATTTTATTCCATAAGTGTGAAATAGATTTTCATTCCAAAAGAATAGTCATTCGATTTTGTTTCATTTTATTATATTCCTGCACACAAACTATGCCTATGGTCACAAGGACAATAGAACGGTGATATCTACTCTATTGATTCAACAACAACAACAGCAACCAAAAAAAAAAAAAAAACACATTTATTGGGTATGCCATACACTGAAAAGATAGTAACCACTAAATCATTCATCATTTATTTCTATTATTAAGAAAAATGAAGCAAAATGATATATATGATTGGTTGGGGATGCCACTTATGAAGTTATCAAAGGGTACTAGTAACAAAATTTCCCTTCAAAGAGATTTATTCTTTTTACTTCTTTGTTTAGAAAATGACATGATGGGGGAAAAAATAAAGGGAATTAAAGAAAAGAAAACTTCGTTTTGATTAATTTATTATAAGGATCTAAAAAAACACATGGCGTTGTAGAAACAATTGCTAACACTAACGGATTGGATTTGTTAGGAACTTTTGTTTATATATGGAGAGAGCGAGAGGAAAGGTTACGATTCTAACAAAGGAACACAGGAGCTAGGTAGAAGAAAACCATTTCACTCTCATAGCTATAGTGGTGGTTCAACTTTTCCATCTAATATATATATATATATATATATAAATATATATAAAACAAAACTTTTATTTTTCGGAAAGTTATATATAACAAAACTTGTTCACACTTTTCTTGCACCCATAACGTGTCCAAAATGGTTATATGCCCCTTTTCATTCCACTATTCTAACGACACTTCATTATACAATATGTACATATTTATACATACACACATACATATATAACAAAACTTTTATTTTTCGGAAAGTTATATATAACAAAACTTGTTCATACTTTTCTTGCACCCATAACGTGTCCAAAATGGTTATACGCCCCTTTTCATTCCACTATTCCAACAACACTTCATTATTCAGTATGTACACGCGATATATATACCATGTAAGAGTATTTGAGAAGATAGTAATTTTGATAAGCAAGCAACAATGAATCAATGAAAAAATTGCTAAAGAAGAGGCACAATGTAACCAAATCGTGCAGGGAAGTATGAAAAAGCCTAAAATAAATTTTAAATTTGCTTATTTACCCCCTAAGTCTTAGTGTTCAGCTCCCGTTTAGGAATATATCTACTTAACTTGAAATAGTTTTTAATTATTAATACACAGGTATTACCATAAGAGCTGTAATTTTTGAAAGGTAATTGTTGAGAAGAACTATAAGGTGAAATAAGAATTTACTGAGACCTGAATGCATGAACCCTTGATTAATGCATGGATCCCACTTGAATGCTATGACATGGAGGCCATATTAGACTCCCATTCTAATTCCATTTGGAGAGAGTAGCAATTTTTCATTTTCACAAAGATTGACCAAGCCAAAGAGTGAATTTTTAAATTTGTGAAAACACACACACAATAACAAAAAAAAAAAAATGTAAATTTCTTTTTCAAAAATGACTTTCACCAAATTATGATTTAAAATTGTGTGAAACTCATGGTATTCTCAATCTTCACATCTTACCTACCCAACACAATCTGATTTGGATGGTTCAGCTTTTTGTTAAATTTATTGCTTTTACTTCAAGGAATGACATTCTTTTGTCACTATGAACCCAATATAAAACATACACGTACGCTATACATATAGTAAAATATATGTACGTGTGTGTATAGATATATATAGAGAGAGAGAGAAAGAGAGCATACATCTGGAGTGCTTCGAGGATAGTGAATTGAGCCAGAAAACAGCATCCTTCGCTGGCCATCGATGATCAGGGATCTGCCGTCATATGTCACGTCTCCTCCATAGACTCCACCGCCTATCGCTGCCGCCAATACCGCAAACCAACACAACCACCACACCATCTTCTTAGAATATTCTGCTCTTTTTTTCCTTCTCATACTCTCATACATATATATAGATATATATAAACTCTCTCTCCCTCTTCACAAACCAGCTGGTCACTCTCAACAAAGAAAGAAAGAGATAGATATTATGTTAACTTTCTTATTTTGTTTGTTCATGAATAAATGAACACATGAATTGTGGCATAAAATCCTCCTTACTAAGAGCGATGCTTCTTTATTATTAATAATGGAATTTGACTTGTGTAATTATATATATAGGTGGTCTGATTATATATATATATATAGGTGGTGGTTATATGTATAGAGAGAGAGGAGAGAGAAAGGGACGGCAGAGGAAGAAAATGTATAGTGTTGCACGTCAACTTGTTTTGCATGGTGTTGGACGATTGTTTCAGTGTGACCTTTTTAAAAAATAAATAGATTTTTCATGACCTTGCTTCTCATGGAAATTTTATGAGACTCAGAGCATATGTTACAATCCAGATGGTTAAAATAAACTATAAATTACTAGCTATATTGTTGGAATTAATTCTACAGTATCTAATAGCATTTGGGTTTAATTTATAAATAAAAAAAAAAAAAAATACTACATACAAATTATAATCTTTAAGTTTGGTCACTAAACTATAATTTTTTTATATAAACAGATGTTCAAATTGGAAATTAAGAGATAATGCATGTCCAAATTGGAAATTAAGAGATATAAACAGATGATAAATAGATGTCTAAATTGAAAATTAAGATAACAAAGTAAATGTTTTAACTTTTACACACGGACACAATTTATATTACTGTATCAAATTAATGTAATGGGTTCCGTAATCTGACCCATATTGGCGGGACATATCTGAATTTTTTTTTCATGAAGTTATGTAAATCTAGCCTTCTTATATATTTACACACACATTCACATATTAATCCAAAGGCCTTTTATCCCCATTTTTCCTTAGTTTTGTTTAATTAGATGGAATCAATTAGAAAAGAAAGGAAAGACAAAAAAAAATAAATAAATAAATAAAAATAAATAAATAAAGTTTGGATAGATCGAAAAAGAAATGTAATGAAAAGTATAATTTCCTGCCCGATCTATTTTCTCCCAAAAATTTTCTAGCATAAAACATGAAATATATTTTCTAGTGAAAAGAGAGTTTTTTCTAATTTGCCTTCCTATTTTACCCAACTAAATCATGTATAATAATTTCTTTCTTTTCTATTGAATTTTAAAGAAGCAAGTTCTCTAACAATTTCTATTCTTCCAGACAACGGAACTAGTTTTTGTTTTTATTGTGTTCTCTGTTGAAAGCTCATGAGTCCATGAGCCTAGTTAGTTTTTTTTTTTTTTTTTAATTCCTAATTTCTCTTAAATTAATAATTAGGTCTACTTCTACCTAATGTATAAACATTATTTTTGCAAACATGTACACCTTATTTAAAATTTAGACATCTATTTATCATCTGTTTATATCCTTGACTTTTAGAATTCTACATGAATTTAGTAAAGATAGTGAATCGATTAAAGTTCAATCATATTGAATTAATTGAAACCTATTTATTAGTGTGATCTCTCTCTCTCTCTCTCTCTCTCTATATATATATATATATGACATAATCAACATGAAATATATATATTATTAATTCATAAACTTTAAAAATGTAACATAGAGAACATTCTTGGAAGGTCTATAAGAGGACCACACCTTACTAACGTGAAGTTACGTGACAGATGGAACTCAAGTGTTATTAATCAAAAGCTTGAGAATATTTCTTTTATTCTTGTACTTGGACATTTCGAAAAAGGATTATATGTTGCATCTAATAAAGCCCAAAAAAATTGAACTTGATTAAATCTAAAAATAGAGCTATCATTTTCCTAGTTGGTATTTCTTCCACGTTTTAAATAAAAGATGTTTGTTTAGTGAGTGAATTATTATTTTTTTTTTTCTTAAAAAAGAATAATAATAATAATGAAATTGAATGGTACCAGCTTATTATCACTTTATAACAAATAGAAAGTACAAAAGTAAAACAAAAGGAATTTGAAATATTACAAAGAATTAGTAGTTTATACATATATTCCCCATTAGTTAGACAGTTTGCTTATTGTGGGCCACCATAATTTTCTTTTAAGCAAACTTGAAGCATTTAAGTTGGACTAAAGATTTTGAGTTCCCAAAAAAAAAAAAAACAAAGGAAGAAGAAGAAGAAGAAGAAGAAGAAGAAGAAGAAGAAGAAGAAGAAGAAGAAGAAGAAAGAAGGAGATAATGTGCACATAACACAAATATACTACAAGATTAGTAGTATATATACTCTTTGAGCATTTTCGGAAAAGTAAAAGGACAAAACGGAGTATTACAGCACTAATTTATGTTAGAGGGGTATTTTTGCACAATGTGAAAAGATTAGGTATACTTTTTTGCACACTTTTTCAAATAGAGAATAAAAAGTATTACTTGAAATAAACTTTAGAGGTGTTTTCTGCCATATAAAACTATAAAAAGTATTACTCGAAATATGTGTTTTCTGCACTTGTCCCATTAACTTTTAATCCATATAAAACCATAAATGGTTTTGCTCCATACCTCTTGAGTTGAAATCTCATTCCTTGAAGAGTTGATGCCCTTCCCCAACTGAATACAAATTTTTTTGATAAGTTCAGGAGAATTTGTCAAATTTGAAGTATAAGGATAAGTTGCTAAAAATTAATAGTTCACTAAGGTTGTTTTTAAACATTAGCCATCCAAATGAAAAACCCATTATTATCATATCATAATAATAATAATAATACATAGCCATCCAAATGAAAAGGGCTTTGGATGTGCTTTATATTAAATACATGTAAATATGAATAAATTGTACGAGTGAGACGTAGGTACAATATACCTCGATCCTTCCTTAAACCTACAGGAAACCTATTAGTTTTGGTGGTTGCAGAATTCGAGAACCCTCTTGATATTTCCATAGACACTATTTCAATCACAAAAGTTTGCGGGCATGTCTCTGATTCACATTCGCCGCCAGTAGTTTCATGGAAGAGTTAACCGGAGACCAAAAGTGGAGCTTCATCGTCCTTCCAAACGAAACATTTCTAGAATTTTATTTGCAAGCTATGGAACTCCTTCTGGTGACTGCAGTAGTTACGCCATTGGAAGTTGTCACTCGTCTAATTCTAGAGCCATTGTGGAGAAGGTTAGCCCCTTTCTTGCCCTTTGGTTATCTTCTTTGAATGCATATGTGTGCTTTGTTTTGTGGATAAGGAAATTGTAAATAAAAGAAAATGTGGTTTCATATAGCTATTTCGGGTTTTAAAATGTGACCTGCACTGTAATAATTTGTGCCCATTTGACATTACAAAAATATGCATGTGTTTGTTACTTTCGTAGTGCTACAAATGGTCGCAGCTGTCCATCTTCATCCATTAGTTTGGACGGAAGAGGATACAAATAGGCATGAAATGAATTGAGCTTAACCCGAGATTTGACCCAAACCAAACGCGTTTGGCTATATTAAGACTTATTTGGATTGTGCATGGTTTGTATGGGTCAGATATGAATTATGCTGACAAGAAATGAGTCGAGTTTGGATCCAAATAGGATCTTGACCATCAGATTTATATGGATCCACATCATTTCGTGCCCTAGTTGAACTGTCCAAAGTGTTCTTCTTCTTTGCTTTTGACATTGTTGAAATAATATATTGCATCTCATGTTTAATTTTTTTTTTTTTTGCTACATTCATTAAATTGTAATTTTTGCAAGCTTGTTTTGGGAAGAGAAAATGTTCCATTCCTCATTCATATCAAGGTTTTGGTAGCGACCCATGTCCAGGCATTCCTAAAGAACTCTTGGTTGATGCGCAATGCGAATGATGATGATAGAGCAATTTTGTACCATGTCTCACACAGTATTACACCATGTCTCACACAGTATTACAGTTGTTACCATGTTTACTATATGGAAAGGTTTATTAAAATTTATTCAAAGAATCAATTCATGTATATGTTAAAACACAAGCGTTCATTAAAAAAAACACTAAGGGTTTGTTTAGTAACAGGAATTAATTCCTACTTTTTACTTTCAATTCTAAAAAAGTAAAAATATAAGTAAAATCACGTTTATTATAATACTTTCACTTTTTCATTTTGAGAAAGTAATTTCTAAATTTGTGAAGAAAAGAGAAAGTGAGAAATTCTCACTTTCTCTACTTTCTGTATTGTGCGGAGAAAGTAATTTCTACACTGTAGCATTAATTTTTAAAGCCTAAAATGTCGTTCTCGTTTATATCATCATCACAACCCTAGCCTCTCGCCCTCATATATGCTTCAAGAAACTTCTACCAGGGCGATCGTGCTCCCTTATCTGCGACTGTCGACCAGCAACAGAGACTCAACGGGTGACCGACAACACCATCTGTAAGTTCACACTCTCTTTTCAGATTTTCTCTTTCCTTGGATATGGTGTTTTTGCCCTAGAAATCTCCAATTTATCTCTTCCTGAATCATTTTATGCTCCATTTTCAGTGAAATAATTGTCTTTCCCTTTATATTTATTAGATTTACAAGCATTTTTATAAACCCAGCTACCTTACCAAGCCAAATATGCACAAGTACCCCTCCACCACCAGCCCTTTGATAAAGTCAGTCTTGTATAAAAATTGTAGTCAATGACAAGATTGTTAGAAATATCTTAAAATGACCAAAAAGTTTGGTCAGAAGATTGTAAAAGAATGACAAACTTAGATAGAAAGTTTCATAAAAAATTGGTACAAAAATAGTATAAAGATGAAAGATGGTGATGAGCTTATTTTTTCAAGGCCTGGCAACAATAAAGTACTTCTTTTTTCTTTTTCTTTTTCTTCATATTTTTATTTTTTATTTTTTTATTTTTTTATTTTTTATTTTTTTGTTTTTGTTACTTATAGAGAAACAAATCACATATGTAAGACCATGTAGATAGAGACAATATTGTGTAATTAGCAAACCAGGTGGGTGAGTTAGGTGT